CCTTGAGATGCTATTATTATACCATGTTGATTCCTGGTATAAACATGCTCCCTGGCTGATCCATGACAGCACGTGTAAATGCAAAGAAGGGAAACTGACGACGCATTGACAAGATTGAGCGCTAAACCAAATTCAGTGGGATCGTGACCTGACCACAATATGAATGAGTAACAATGACATTTGTATTGCTGCTAAGAAGCCATGGTACCACATAAGAAACAAATATGAGCACATCTTTTAAAGGAAGAATGTGCGACTCTTTGATCCAGTGGATGTCACCTTTGAGCACCAGCATGAAACCAAAGCAAACTGCTGTTTGGCAAAGCCTGCGCTATTCTGGAGCCTCCGTTCTCAACCAGGAGCACACCTCCAACCCCTCTCCACTCGCTCTTGCACTTAAGAGTTATCAATTAGAACGCACCATAATTAAGCACCATTAAGCACAAGCAGCGGACAAAATGGTTTTGGGCTCGAGCTGCAATCACCCCTGTCCTGCACTGTTGTGTTAGAAGGCTAATGTTAGCACACTTTGGTTAACTCGTAGCTTCATATTGAACATAAATTGACACAGAATGACCGCGACCTAAAGACACTTACGTGACATACAAATAAGCAGTGAGTAGGCTTTGTTATTGTTTTCTCTAGTCCTTGACTAAAACAGCTTTATACGCAAGGCTGTCCCGTCCATGTAAACACGATATAAACACAGCCCGACAACAACACAGCCAGCGGGACTTGCACTTCTCACTCATTGCAGACAATCATGACTCAGAGGGATAGTTACAGAGGATATACTTGATTTCTGCTGTATTTATGTGTAAAATGCAGATTCTGTCCATAACAGATGATGTTGTACAGTTGCATGTGCTTTCGAATGTGTGTGTGTGTGCGTGTGCGTGTGTGTGTGCGTGTGCGTGTGTGACTTACAGCTTGGTCCATGGACCTTGACGGGCTTGTCGCTGCTCAGAGTGTGTGAGCACTGCTGACACACACACTTCTTCCCACAGAAGGTCACCCTGTCTCCAATCGGGAACGGACTCCTGAAAAAAAACACACATGGAAACTGAGAGTCAAACTATGCGGATAAGGAGATTCTGTGCTCTTTATTTTTGTGTTGATGCGCTAGTTCCAGATTTCACATTCAGAGTGATCAATGAGCAAGTCTTATTCCAACTGTGACTGAGCTTTATGGATTAGGGTTTATACTTTTAAGGATACAGTGTTTTGTTTTGTTTCATCAACACATCTGCCCTCACATAAAGCTTAAACCTCGCTGTAGTTTACATCCTGTGTGTATGATGCTTCACATCTGGATTCTTGTACTGTTATGATATAGCAGCCGTGGGGCTATATATATAAATATATATACATATATATACATATATATATATTAAATACAGTGTTTCCCCTAGGTTTACAGCTTTTTTGGGGGGGGGGGGTACAAGGAGACGGCACGAACACTTGAAGGAATCTTGGTGTTCATGCGTTACTTTTAATGACAGCTATCTTCTTCTATCGGACAGGTATCCTTAAATGACTTCTTTCCATAATTTCCGACTCTATCCACTATCCTATCTCTACAATAAAGGCACAAAAAAGCCCAAAAATAAATCTAAAAAACAATAAAAAAATAAAAATAAATAATAAATATATATATATATATATATATATATTTTTGTTTTGTTTTTTAACTTGACTTTCAAGGGGGGGCGGGAGAGGCCGTTGGGGGGGGGGTGGTGGTAGGGGAAACATTGAAATATATCTTTGTTATTCATTCCTCCAAAAAAAAAAGCAATTTTCTTAGCAGTTTCCACATTTACTCTACTTAACAACCTTTAGCTCATGAACATTGGGGTCAGAGGAGCAACTTCTATGGGACATGAAAGTGTCTGATGGGTATGTTAATGAATACGTTTCATTAAAAGGACAAACCATGATCATCAATACCCTATCCAGCTCTACTTTATGCTGATTTTCTGAGTTTTTCTGAACACTCTAAGGGTGCTTGTTGAGGTATTCATATCAAAACTTTCCCTGAATCTCATTTGAAAGTTAAAATTTTATTCCAACATGCTGACACAGCAACTTTCAAGATGAATACACTTCATTCACAATTTCAGTGGATGCTGTTCTTATTCAATAGAGCAAGCAGACAGATACATACACACACGCACGCATGCACACACACACACACACACACACACACACACACACACACACACACACACACACACACACACTCTGAACATAAGCAAATGGAAACCCAAAGATCCATCTCTGACTGACAGTTAGTTATTAAAGATAAACTGTACGGCTCACAGGACACGCTTCATTTAAACACACTTCTATCACAGCACAGTCGCTGCAGCTCTGAGTAAGCTGATGTTCGGCCTTTATTAGATTTACATGATATTATATAATAAGTGAAGAGACCAGCCGACTGCAGCAGACTCTTCGCTTTGTTATACTTTAAATTGTATCTTGTTTTTTCTCTCGTATTTTCTTACTCATCACTTCCAGCTAAACTCTCACAAACTTACCAAAGGGGAAACTAAATACTCCAAAAAATATAATGCTACTTATGGGGAAATTGCAGTTATTGTTAACTTGTATTCTTTCGTCTTTCAAACCTGTTTTATATTCAAAAGTCTCAGAGGAATAACCCTGGTTGTGGCATTATGATAAATAACAGCTTTATCCCAGCTTTGTGTGACAATGTGACATTGTAAACAATATAGATACTTTTTTTAAGTTTATCTCCTTCTTTCTTTTAATCTCAATTTCCACAAGTAAATTATATCTGTAAGGCTCTTTGAGACACATCTGGAAAATAAATGCTCTCCAATAACTGGAATCATATGAAATGTCACATATGATGCAAAATACACTTTACCATTATTTTGTAACACTAATATGTGTCTTTAGTCTGTCTACAAACTCCACAATTATGAGAAAAGTCCATCTACTCTGTCTTTGCCTGCTCCACTCTGTGTAATGTGTGCTCAAACAGGCTGTTTGGAGATTTCCCCTGTATGACATCACAAAGGGCAGTAACCCCTCCCCCAGGTAGGTAACAATACCACAGCTATAGGTGTTTGTTCTATCCTCTGAGTCTGGCTTCTCAACATAAACAATCAAACCTGGTGCAAGAAAGCCCAAGCTCGAGCCTTTCCAGAGAGGGGCGTGGTCAAACACAGCTCATTTGCATTTAAAGCTATAGACACAGAAACAGCCTGTTCTGAGCAGGGCTGAAATAGAGGGGTTTATAGGCTTGATAAAATACAGGATCCGAGAGGAATTATTAGAAGAAACTTCAAAGACATGTTTTGGGGACCTCTGAGACTTATTTAAACTGGTTGAAAAGGAGGATAATATGTGACCTTTAATAATATATAGCTAACAAGTTTGCTCTGATGACTGTTTTTCAATTACAGGATCTTTAAAAGATTCTGCCATCGTTTTATCTGAACTGTTTAGTGGAACTTAAAATAGACATGCATTTACTGGCCTGCTGTACTTGTACATATTTGTTATTACAAAAAGCCACCTATGGTTTGCAAGAAGTTGTGTACAGACTTTCAAAGTCATTATAGAGTGCCACAGTATGCAGTGCTCTGTGAGAATCTAATTAGTTGCTGTTGTTTTTAGTGGTCACAAGTTTGAAATGAAGCACTGCTGAGAGGATCCCTAAGTACACAACAATAGAGCTGTAAATTCCTTGTTAGACTACAAACAATACCACCTTAACAATGTTTACTGTATACCCAACTATAATAATTTTACAGTATATATAAGTAGGGATACAGTATATAAGTAGGTTCATTAATGTAATATGTTGTGGCACGTTTCCAGACCTGCAGATGCTGCAGACGAAGCAGTGTCGGTGGTACGTCCTCCCCAGCGCAGACACCACCTCTCCAGTGATGTACTGCTCACAGCTGTCACACTGCGTCCCGTAGAGCCGCTGGTAGTCCTCTGTGCAGATGTACTCGCCAGAGTGGTGGAAGAACCCCGAGTGGGCCAGATCACAACCACACACTGGAAAAAGAAAACACAGAATCAGCTCAATGTAGTGCTCAAAAATACAAGGCAGACGGACGGGACAGAAATAAAAGTGTACTGTGTGTAGTGGTTGAGCAGCTTGGACTGTTAAACTCGTTCACATTAAAAAGAGAAGTTGTTTATGGCATCCTGCTGTTACAGAGACGTTCATATGGGAAAGTTTCATTCATGTAATTCATATTGTATATATTCTTAATTGTAGGCCCACAATTACCGGTACATAAAATCAGTAATAGTACACTGTCAGTGTTTTTTCTTTCAGAGTTTGCTAGTGGGGCTGGTAATAGTGGAGTCCGATGTCCTTTTGACCTCTAAAGGGTTAATACTGTAATCTGGTTTTGAGGATTAGGGAGTCACGTCTAATCTGTTAAATTATACAGTATGTTATGTTGCTCTGTGAACACAAAGGCATGTACATAGAGAATCTGTGTACCTCCATACAAAGCAGGTCTTGTCAACGCGAATCTGCATGAACTGTTCACACATAATGAACACATTAACATGTATTTATGGAGGCTGTGTTGGGGGATAGATGCATGTCCAGGCAAAGAGACACGTGGGGCACACACTTTATCTACTGACAACATGATGTATGGCTTTTATTTATTTAGCAAATGCAAAGTCCCTCAGCCAAATGATTGCTTGAGGTCCAGCTGTGCTGGGGGTGAGGGGGCCGCCGATAAGCAGGATGGTTAGACTGTCTGAAAGCAGCTGAATGACTTTCTGCTCCAGCTATCAGAAGCAGGAGGCTTACTGTGGCCCCCCTCCGCTTTGTTTAAGGGATTTTCTTTTTTTTTAAAAGCTATTTTTAGTCACAACACATGACTATGACAGGAATATAGAGCCAATAGCAACAAGATTGGAGTTAATTGAAAACAAATGACATGTTTTTGAGATTTACTGAGTAAAAAAAGCCCTAAAATTTTCATTAAAATTAACTGGAATATCCCCTAAAATTAGAGTCCTTAAGAGAAAATTAAGAGAAAAAAAATATTTTATTAAATCCCAAGTAAATGCACAAAATAAGTACATTTTTTTCTCATGAAACATTACTATTTCTATCACCTAATATTTCCTTCCTTTGCTGGCTGCCTCATTTGTCTTTCCCAACTTGGCCCTAAAACACCATTGTTCTTTTACACTTATTATGCCACCCCTATAAAGAAATTGTATCCTGAAGTCCCCAAAATGAATTAACTCACTGCTAGTAATTGTCAGTACCATATTCTATCTTTTCACCTCTGAAACATGCAGGATCTGATGACACTCTGATATTACCTGTAGGGTACAGGCCAGGCCCGTGGACTTGCAGCACCGTGATACAATCTAGATGTATTTGAAGTAAGACATCTGAATGGAAGCCAACCGATCGAGATATCTGACTGTGAATTGAAAGTCTCGCCTTTAATTAAGCTAATGGCTCTAAACCCAGATGAGTGAATGGATCCAATCTGATCTGAGCTGGCATGTTAAGTGGCTCAGACAGAGAGAGAGAGAGAGAGAGAGAGAAGGAGGAGAAAGACAGAGAGAGAAGGAGGAGAGAGAGAGGAGAGCGACTGAGCGATAGACGGGAGGAGAGAGAAAGACAGAAAAAGCGAGAGAGAGAGAAGGAGAGAGAAAGACATAGAGATAGACGGGGAGGAGAGAGAGAGAGAGAGAGAGGAGATGCTCCAGAGCAGTCTAGCTGCCTAATGTATGTGTTTATTTACTGTAAATTCCCTTTACAAAATATAATGTTCTAATATTATGCAGGGCTTCAGATTGCACTGGGAACAATTGAAGATTTCAAGACGGAAACCGCTGTGATTACATAAACCATATTGCTGTTAAACAACTAACTCTGTTGCCAAAGGCAACATCATTAAAAACAGAGCAGGCAGACTGTTACACAGAGGCCATGTAGGTTTCATTGTATTGTATCTTCTAACAGTAGACTAATCAGCTAAGTACTACTACTTAAGACAAACAGGGTTTGAGAAAATAAAGAGGCGAGAGAGAGAGAGAGAGAGAGAGAGAGAGAGAGCAACTACAAAGCAGTAAATAAAGAGTCACACATAAAGAAAATTATTTTTCCTTCAACTATTTAGAACTGTTGAACTTTATGAACAGAAAAAGGAAACCAGTGTTAATAAATCAGGGGCCATATTCATAAAGCTGCCAGAGACAAAATTCTAAGAAATTCTTAAAGTCATGACGTTTTCTAAGAAATTGCCCCTTTACATTAGTTATGTATACAAGAGATATGTAAATATGTATGAGGGTTAGGGTTAGGGTAAAGATCGAAGAAATGTTCCCAAAACCTTGAATGACAGGGAATTAATTATACACTACAGATAGGATCATGTTTGTGGTAGATCTCATTAGAGTTTGGGTCTGTCGCAGTTTTCAATCAGCAGAGTGATCACACAGTTACAGGGCTGTCACAGGCTCATTATTTACATTACATTAAGTACTAATATAACCAACATACTTAACAAACAAGAGTAAATAAATACAAGTAATGGCATTGAAGAGGCTGCTGCACAAGTGGGCATTTGTTTCTAATATTTTGTAGTAAGTGATCGTTTGCTCTTACTGACATTCCCTTTTTCTAGATCCTTGCTTGTGTTGTACTTACTCTCTGATGTACGTCGCTTTGGATAAAAGCGTCTGCTAAGTGAACTGTAGAATTGTATAATTGTAGAATAGTAAGTTTACAATTTCTTCAACAGATTTTACAAAAAAAATGTTCATAATAACACAACCAATGACTAGATTCATCTGATTAGGCCGATCAATTTTAGTCTTTCTATGCCCATTATCAATTAAGTGAGAATCTTTACTTTTTTCTTCCCCTTTTTTTGTTGCAACTAATGACAGTATTTGAAAGAATGTTTCATATAGCAGCAGGATCAACCAGGCCTCCTCACTAAGATGGAAGCTAATATCCCTTTTTGTTTTTTGCTCACAGTTTCTCTGAGGATGTTCCCGCTGTACACCACTCCTAGGACTCCTACTCGCAATGTTTAATGTAAGTTACTGAGACTATTCTCAGAATGTTTGTGAATAAAAGTCAAGTGTGAAGTGCACTGGTGTCTGATGACCCACTCCCCTGCACAGCCGCGTTCTGAATCAGCCACAGCTTTCTGACAGACTTTGCAGAGAGACCTGTAAATATAGCAGCACAGCAGTTGAGCCAGTTTAGGATTTTCTATCCCCAACTCAGATAAGCAAGCCTTTATTTCTTCATGCAACTGATCGTATGGCTACTCAAACAGGATTGACTTTCCATTTTATAACATAAGTGTTTGCTTGCTTTCAACAGAAATGCAGCATACCACTGAAAAATATATCAAAATGATTTTCCAACAGAGACTAAAAGTTTTTGTTGTTTCTAAGGTCAATTTCATTTTTGTCTTTAAACTGCAAGTTGTTTTTTTTTTCAAAATTTAATTTGAAGTCAATTTATTCAAACAAGAAAGAAAAACTAGGACATCACCCTCAAACACAAGAAACTCTGTCTTTTTACAGTTTATTTTCTCTGTCTCCTTTGCCTCTGAAATCATATTCTTCTCATGGCAAAGCTGCTGTCGCACAACTTTAAAATGCCAACCTGACCTTTATCAGTCGGCTTGAGAGTAAAGCTGTTCATGCTGGAAGACTTCCATGTTCTGTATGTGCTGAATACACAATGCATGAATACAAACACATGTATGTGATGTTTGTTGTTGTAAACGTATGTTTCATAAGCATGCCATTCATTTTTATCTCAGCAAGTGGGCTTCAGAAATCTCTTTAGTTATTTCTTTTTAAGATTATATCTGAATAAAGACTTGTTTATGTCTTACAGTGGACAGAGTCAGGCACTGGGGAGAGAGAGTGGGGAATGACATTTTGGAAAGGAGCCACCCTGCTGACAGCATGCACATTTTCATCACAATCTAAATGAAAAGCTGTTAAGATCAGAGGAAAACAGGAAAGAGAGGGAGCTGTTGAGGCTTGGCCTCCTCAGAGACCTCTGGTATATTTTGATTTCAGATCACTGGCTATTTTCAAACACTGTCCACACAAACCAAGAACCATGCGTGAACATTTAAACTGGATGTTTGTTCATGTTATTTATCCTTTCATCAATCTTTTAGGATACAATACATACATCCATCCAACAAGCACAGTTCTGACAGAATTGTTAATGTGACTTTGCTGTTTCGATGGCAAGTGTTAATGCTTTTTTACTGGTGATTTATTAGACTGGTATTTTGGCAATGCGAACCCAACGTTTGAGAGATTATAATGTCTGTCAGTCAGCCATTTTGGTCCTGACTTAAGTATTTCAACAAGTGTCGGATGGATTGTCATAACAACTTGTACACACATTCATGGTACCCAGAGGATGCAACCTGCTGACTTTGATGAATACCGTGAGGGTGACCTTTGTAGCTTCATGTAAAAATGAATGAATGTGAAATGAATGACAGTGAAATTCAAAAGAGTGAAAAAAACCAAAGGCACTCTTTAAAAAAAATAAAAGTAAAAGGCCTTTTTCACCCTGAAGAAGGCTGTTTGTGTCGTTACTCCAGGGTTTTTACACAATAGATTTTTTTTCAGCATATCTATGATGTAATAACCAATCAAAGATCAACATTTGGATCAAAAAATGTCTCGTACAATAATTCCAATTATAATAATAAACAATAAAATAATGACATAATAATGTATAATTCCTAATTAGCATGTTTTAGCATATTTACAGGGCAATTTAATATTATTCTTGATAATGCATGATAATCTTCGGCATTGACATGAGCATATCCATAGAGCAACAAAAACCTGTTTCATGCTCTCTACCAAAAAACATATATCTCTATGATGAGCAACTTAGATGTAAATTCATCCATTAAATCTTATAACTTGTTAGTACTTTCACTGAAAGTGTAGATGAGTGTGGCTGAGCCAAAATAATTTCATTACGCTTTCATTTTTGAGATTTACAGTGT